ATATATATATATATATATATATATATATATATTAGTCACATGATATTTTCACCAGTGAAAATACACTCTATCTTAACTAAAGAAATTAATATTATAATAATTATTACAATAAAAAAATAATATTAAATTATAAGATGAATTTTATAAAAAGTAATTATAAAATTAAATATATTTTATTATTTTATTACCAAAAAAATATTTTATTGTATAAGCAGTTGTTTCTATTAAAGTAATTATTTAAGACAAAAATGTATATGAGTGCTTTCTCGTTTAAGTTTTAATTTTAGATTTTTAATTGATTTTTATGTTTAAAAAATTTATTTAAATAAAATTTTTAATAAATTTATTTTGAAAAAATAAATATTTTAAAAATATTTTTAATTTTAAAAATTATTTTTGAATATTCTAATGTTTGATAATGTTGTTAAAATTAAATTTATGTTGTTTAAAATATGAAAATAAATTGATTAAAGTTATAAACACTTTTATAATAAAGCTAAGACAAATTTACATTATTAGACATAGTATAATTTAATGACGTAGCTTTTTTATTATAACCAGTAAATTAAATTTAAAAAGTAATTATAAAGTTTATAAAGTTATATAATAAAATAATTTATATTAATAAAGATAAATGTGTAAGGAAATGAATAAACCACAGTTAATAAAGATAATTTATATTAGTTAAGATTACATTAGTTCTATTTTAACTTAAAATTATATGAATCACCAATTCAAATGTAAATCAATAACATACAATAATTTATCATATTTAATATATTGTTAGTATATCAAAGAGTTCACACACAAAAGAACTATATTAAAAAAGTTCATTTTTGAGTTTCATTACTATTTAACAAAATTCATGTATTATTTTAAATAAATCATAATATCATTTTATATTATTTATATAATCTCATAGTTTATATTTTTTAACACATGAAAAAAAAAAGTAAAAATAATAAGACAATACAACAATTATGTTGACGGAGTAATTAAACAGCAAGAATTTAATTAAAATATATGAAATTTTGAATTCTCAATAAAAGAATATAATAAAAACTTAATTAAAAATAGAAAATTAGAACTTAATAAAACCTAAATTTTGTATATACAAAATACAAATGCTCATGATATTCTATTGCTAGAAAACAATATAAAAATATTCTGAGATATTGAATGCTTTATGAAATAAACAACGTTTTATCTAAGAAATCTCTTCATTCTCTTCATCTTCTCTTTGACTATTTCTAATCTATTATTCAATCAAAAGTATAATATATTACAAATATAATTAAAATTATATATTCTATTTTCACACTAACCAAGAATGTTAGTAAAGTTGACTTAACGTTCAAAATTTCATTAAA